CTTCAGGGCTAAGACTGAAGCCTGTGGTTTTCACCATTGTCCCTAGAATCTAGTCAGCAGCCCAGTACTTATTCGTGGGGAACCTTTTGAATTAACTCCTCGGTATTACGTAGCTGAGAAATTTCTAACAGGTTTTGTGACACTCAAAGAGGCAAACTGTCACATAAAAGGATACGCCCAAGTGCTGAGGTTCAGTTTCCAGGTATGTGGTGCGTTTTGCCTAACATGTGGAGAGGAGGGGAATGTAAGATCTCCAGCTTAGGCCTGGCACGGTGGCTCACACCTGTAATCCCAGAACTTTAGGAGGCTGGCAGGTGGATCACCTGAGGTCAGGAGTTCGAGACCAGCCTGGCCAGCATGGCAAAACCCTGTCTCTACTGAAAATACAAGAATTAGCCAGGTGTGGTGGCACACACCTGTAATCCCAGCTACTCAGGAGGCTGAGGCAGGAGAATCAATTGAACCTGGGAGGCAGAGGTTGCAGTGAGCCGAGATCACACTGCCCTCCAGCCTGGGTGACAGAGCGAGACTCCATCTCAAAAATGAATAAATAAAAGTAAAATAAAATCTCTAGCTTAGCTAACTTCCTTTTTCACTGTTGCACATGCTCTTCTTAGAATGTTCTCAGCAAATGCCAGTGCTGAGCTTGTGTAATACAAATCTTGACGCTCTGCCAGTCATGATTTTTACCTGAGGGTTTGACTGACTTTCTCATTTTAGTCTTCATGTTTTCTTTACTGTTTGCCATTAGAAGACAAAACCGCTCTAGATCTGTGTGAAAAGCTCCGCCTGGCAGTGCCTGGGTGGGAAATATCCCTGCTGGATTTTCCCTGGGTCCACATGGCATCCTGTCCCCCCAGGACTCCCCACCCAGTTCTCAGAACAGCCTTAGGAACAGGAAGAGCACAGGCTCACTGTCGATTGCCTTCACTGTGCAGATGGTAGACAGCGGTCACTTCCAGCAGACGAAAGAGGCCTTTGTTCCTTGCTGACAAGGTCGGGAGGGGAGTTTTGTCAAAGAGACAAACCAGAAAGCCCGTGGGAGGAGAGAGGGAAGGGAGGGAGTCCAGGGTCAGCGCTCAGCTTTTTCTTGTTGTGAGATTACGGCTTTCTCTCTCTCTCTCTCTCTCTCTCTCTCTAAGTGTAGTACCTTTATTTAAAAACATTCCTGCAGTCAACATGTGGTTCTTTAAAACATGGAGCAAAATAAGACGCGCAGCTGCTTTTTAAAGAGCCCGAGTTGGTTTTACGGGTCTCGCAGGAGGGTCTCAGGTGGAGTTGGAATAAGGAACTCTGGACTCACGCTTCCCTGAAGTGGAAAACGTTTTAAAATAAACAAGCCCCATCACTGGGAAGTGCTGGAGGCCCAAACGTCTTAGCAGCTTACCTGGAGTCTCTGTGGGTCTTCAGTGTTCTGGTTGCAAAGGTGCTGGTTTAAATATAACTCCGATAAAATAACTGTTCTCAAGACACATATTCACCCTACAACCTACATAGCACACCCCACTCCCCAGGTGATCTTGGGGTGAGTGACATGCAGCCTCCTGCTCAGACCCCAGCATTTTACTAAGCGTCGTGTAGGGCCTGTGGGGCTGTAATTGGCTTACAGTGAAAACCACTCCATGTAAACTTTCTGTAAGTTTCTCTCCAAGCTTATTTCAGAAAATCCCTCAAGAATCCCAAAGGTTGGAGTCTCCGTTGTGGAAGTTTACAATAATGACGTTTTTGACCTTCTGGCCAAAGACAGCATTGCAGCTGTGTGTGGGGTCAAGCGTGAGGTGATGACCACCAAGGATGGCCGTAGAGAGTGGGAGAGGTCGTGCTGCTGGCCTCCGAGTGGGAACGGCACCTGCCTCGTGGTCAGGAGGCTGCACATCTCTCCATGAGCTCCCCGGCAGAAGGCGCTGAGTGGAGTCCGCGTGGCGGCCCCGTCCGTGCCCCTTGTCACTGAGTGGTTCCTCATGTGTTCTCACGCCTCGTGTGTGCTGCACAGCTCTCAATGTGCTGCAGGATTGATCTTTCTTTAAAGGTGGCTCTGCTCGGGTGACATATGTTAATTAGCTGGAATGGGTGATCACTTCACAATGTATACGTATATCAAAATATCAAAGTGTATACCTTAACTAGATACAGTCCCGGCTGTGGAAGGACGCAGTGCTCTGGGAGGGTGGGAAGCAGCGTCTGCCCCTCCGTCATGGTACAGCTCCTTCTCTCACAAAAGTGGACCTTTGGAGGGCAGTCCCAGTGCCACAGATAAATGTGTCTCCAGACATACTCGTGGCTTCTGCAAATGGCACACAGCCAGGCCTCCTGGGCGCTGACCTAGGGCACAATTGTTTGTGCATGAGAGCCGCCTTATGGGGTGAGCACCTGACTCTGAGGTTTGTGTTCCCAGGGCTGACACGTCTGTGGGACTCACAGCCGGACGGGGCATGCCTGGAGGGGCACCGTGAACCTGAATATCACCCCCCTTACGTCCTTCAGGCCCCTTGGCCACAGAACCTGTGACATGGGCAGACTGAGGAGATGAGAGGAGGAAGGGAAGGAGCCCAGGCCCCAGGGCTGGGGCAGCTCCAAATGTGGTTTCATCCGGAGGACTCTGCAAGGCTAGAATGAAACACCCTGCCCTCTTCCGCTTGCAGGGGTCAGAGGCCACTGGTTTTGAAGACACTTGCCAGTGATCTGTGGGAAGAAATGCTCAGCAGGGGTTTAGGTGGCGTGTGGCGGCCACCGGGGAGCACGGCCCAGACGGGAGGGAGCGAAGGTGCCGCAGCCACCCAGACGGGGGCCGGGGGGGGGGCCGAAGGTGCCGCAGCCACCCAGACGCGGGGGAGCGAAGGCACCACAGCCACCCAGGGTGCGGGAGCTGCCACAGGCGTCTCTTAGAGTGGAACGATGGGGGCCTGGCCCCATCTTGGGGTCCTGGGGGGCCTCCCTTAGGGGCGGCCTCTGAAACAGTGGCAATGGGGGGTGTTGAAGTGTCCGGTCCTGTGGGACCATGTGTTCTGTACAATAATCACCCTGTGAGGGACGCACGGTGCATCCTGGAGCGTCCCAGACACCAGCCCCAGGCCTGCTGGTATTTACCGGGGATTCCTGCCCCGAGGGTCCCACCCTGGCCATCCTCAGCGTGAGGTAGGAGGGGGTGGGATATGCTGGGGGCGCCAGCTGCCCGGGAGCTTTCCTGTGCGCCCTTTCCTACCCAGGCTGTCTGTGCTCCCCGGTAACCAGGAACAGCCCCCCGGGTGTGGTGGGGGCATCTGCACAGTTCGGCCTGTGGCCCTGGACACTCCCTCAGGACTGTCTGGGACCAGGCTCATCTCGGAATCCGAATTACTGCAGACCTTACCTGGGGAACAACCCAGCCCTGATACTCCGGGAAAGAGCAGCAGTGGGGGGAGGCAGGAGGAGGGCAGGGAGGGCAAGCCGGAGCCCACGTGTGGCCAGGGCAGCCGTGGCCTCCTCAGCACAGTGTGCGCCTGGCAGCCTCACGAGGCCAAGGCCCTGGGCCTGGGAACTGGTAATCCACGCTGACTGCTTGGTTAGAAACATGAAGACACCTCATTTGTGGAGACAGAGACGGTGGGATCTTGACCCCCGGGTGTTGCTGTGGGAGGCCAGAGAGCTGTTGGCCTGGCGGGCAGGACTCGGTGACCGACGACCTGGGGGTCTCATAGCTCCCTGGACCTTCCCCCTGCTTGCTGGAGCGTGGCCAAAACCCAGGGACATTTTACATCTGTTTCCCTGCAGTGCTGGGCACGCTGGCGTTTCAGCCACCCTCCTCCTGAAGAACCCGGGGTGGGTGGGGGCCAGAACAGTGAAGGCAGGTGGGTGTGGCCAGATGCCAGCTGGCCTTCTGCAAGGGCTTCAGCTCCATCACAGCCAGCTGGACTCTGGCTTAGTGGTGGTGGACAGCTGGCACAGCCAGAGTGAGACAGCACTGCCCACTGAGGGGGGGCACTTACCCCGGCCTCTCCCTCACTCTTCCCCCAGCCTCTCCACCCGGCCTCTCCCTCACTCTTACCCCGGCCTCTCCTTCACTCTTCTGCCCGGCCTCTCCACCTGGCCTCTCCCTCACTCTTGCACCTCTTCTGTGCCCATTTATTGATACCCTGTACCCAGGTCTTGTTTTGGCACTGAGGGAACTGCAGTAAATGCCCGAGGCTCCTGTCTTGAGGCTCCTAAGACTGGGATGAAGACGGATGTCACATCGGTCCCAGCACTGTGACACAGGGTGGGCTGAGCTCGTCTCCCGATGCCCGTGTCGGAATCCTCATGAGCAAGGCGGAGGTGTTGCGAGGTGGGGCCTGTGAGAGCCGGGGAGGCTGTGGGGGCGGAGCTTCACGGTGGGGTCAGTGCCTGTGTAAGGTGGGCCCTGGGAGCTTCCAAGCCCCTTCTGCCCTGAGACGACACAGCAGCCAGGGAGGGGCCTGGACCAGGAACTGAACTGGCCAGCACCTTGATCTTGGACTTCGAGCCTCCAGAATCATGAGGAGTGGGCGGAGTGAGGCCACACGGTCTGAGGGGAGCTGTTGCAGCAACCCGAGCAAAGACGCCATGCGTGGACATGCTGGGGCTGGGGCTGGGGCTGGTGCTGGCCTGCCACCGCTCAGGAGCCAAGGGTGCCCGCCCCCCCGGGCATCACAGTGAGAAGCCAGACACAGGGAGAGGCTGGGGGGAGGCGGCTGGGACCTGGCTGGATGCCTTGCTTCACACGCCTGCCACCATGCGGGGCAGTGCCACCTCCCAGACCAGCACCCAGTCCACAGGCAGGCACGCCCACCCCGCAGGTCAGGGCCACAGGGCCTCATGCCTCCCGCCACCTTCTGCCGGGCAGCCCCTTCCTCAGAGAACAAAGAGCACTTTGGTTTCTTTTGAGGTGGTCTCGCTGTGTCACTCAGGCTGCAGTGCAGTGGCGGGATCTCAGTTCACTGCAGCCTCGAGCTCCCAGGCTCAAGCCATCGTCCCACCTCAGCCTCCCGAGTAGTTGGGACCACAGGTGCCACCATGCCTGGCTAATTTTATTTCTATATTTTTTGTAGAGATGGGGTTTTGCCAGGTCACCCAGGCTGGTCCCAAACTCCTGGCCTCAAGGGATCCACCTGCCTCGGCCTTCCAAGTGTTGGGATTACAGGTGTGAGCCGCCGTGCCTGGCCATAAAGAGCATCACAGAGGCTCCTGAGGCACGCCCACCTCCCAGCCCACCTCCTGCGTCCACCCCAGGGGAGGCCAGCCCCTGCTCGGCAGCCTGTTCCTATTGTTACGTGTTCCCATGTCCGGTCAGGAGGGAGCCTGGCCCGCACGCCAAAGGGTGCGTCTTGCTCTGGGGAGGCGCTTCTTCCTCTCTTCTCCCACTGCGCCAGGCCACGCAGCTGCCTCAACACCTTGCACGTCCAGGGCAGGGGCGGAAGACAGTGGCCCTGATGTCCAGGGACAGACAACAGAGGGTGGAGCACACAGGTCCCCACTTGGTGACTGAGATGTCCAGTTCCTGCTGCGTGCATTGGTTGGTGACAGCAGCAGTGGCCACACTGGGAGAACCACACCCCTGCCAGCGGGAGGCCTGGCAGGTCACAGGAGCACAGATGCAAGGGCAGAGCCAGGAGGGGACTCAGGAAGAACACTGCTTTCTCGCGGTGGCTGGAGAACCAGGCTTGGGCTGGCGGCAATCCGGGAGGGAGCCCCAGCCTGTCCCCGGTGGCCAGGGGGCCTCATCCTTAGTCAGGGGGCCTCTTCTGTAGCCAGGGGGGTGCGAGCAGGGAGTGGCAGCTGCTGTGTCACCTGAGGCTCCGGGAGCAGAGCCCCCACCCTGGATCGAGTTCTGAGGCCTGAAACTTCCGTGGTTAGATAGCGATGGGGAGCCTTCCTTCAGGGAAGAAAGAGGAGATGACAAGTTCTAAAGTACGAAGAGGAATATAAACAGAAACGTTAAAATCATCCCATCACAAAGCTTGAAAAGCCGGAAAACACAATTCGTGAGGCTCCTGCGATGAATAAGCAGTTGACCCACCGCATTTCCCCATTTCGTGGTAGCTTCTTCACGGCCTTCGTGGAATGCCCACTTCCTCCTGCAGGGCTGCCGGGATTTGTTTCTAACCCCGGCACCTGGAAGGCCGCCCCACCCCACCAACCATCACAGCCTGCCGTGGAGAGGAAGGTCATGGGCCGGTGTCAGGAGCGGCATGTCCTCCCGCTGCAGTCCCCATACCTCCCAGGCTGGGAGGACGTGTCTGCCTGGCCATGTGACCTCTGGCCCTGGCCATCCTGTCCCGGGACTCCCTGCTGCTCCTGCAGGCAGTGACGCTGTGACTGAGAACCCCAAAACGGCTCCCAGCAGATGGAGCCAAGTGCGTGTCCAGCTCAGCCTCCCCTCCAGGGGACCCCACACACCCCCGGCTCCTCGGGGACCCTCCAGGTGAAAGGAGTGTTATGATGAACCTAGTGGAAGGGGCCACCTGTCCCAAACGAGGATGGCTAAGTCTTCCTCGAGTTTTACGAGATGACAGAACTTTGTGAGAGCATTGGCAGGGTCCCAGAGCTCAGCCTTCCTGGTGGTTCTGGCACATGTCCCCTGCCTGGGGACCGCAGAGTCCACGGCCTCGATGGGCTGGCACTGGGCTGGGCGTCTCCTCTCCTGTGGGAGCCCAGAGACCTCGGCCTCTTCCTGCCTGGGGCTCAGCCCAAGAGCAGAACTTCTCAGGTCCTGGGTCACCATGGCTAGAGCAGGCTCTCCAGGAGGAAGGACCAGCTCTGCCTGGAATTCTCCATTTCTACCAGGGAGGCTGAGCTGATGGCAGGAGCCCAGACAGGGGCATGCTTCAACACAGGCCAGAGGAACCAGCCCCCCTGCCCAGGGCCACCCTGTCACCTTCCAGACCAACTGCTCCCAGGAACAGGATCTACTGCCTCCCACACCCCACCCGGCAGGGAGAGCTGCGCCCACAGACCCAGGTCCCGGGGGCAGCTGAGGGGGCAGACGGCGAAAATGCAGGTTCCAGGTCCCAGCAGACTCACTGGGGGTCCAGAAACCAGCCTGAGCAAGCCCTCCGGGCAGTTCTCATGAGTCTGGACCTGCCAGCTTGACCTCTGACCTGGCCCTGGCTGCAGGACTGGCCACCCTGGCCGGGGTCATGAGAGGCTGTGATAGCTGGCGGTCCTTGGCCTGCTCCTCGGGTTCTGCAGGGACAGGGACAGGTGGCTTCCTTTTCCTCCTCACTGACAGGGCAAGACAGGGACTGGGGGCTTTGCCTTGTGCCCCTCCCCCTCCTGCCTGCCTCATGCCACCTGGGGGCCACAAGACTGTCCCCCCAACACAGCCTCTGCATTTGAGGCCACCCCAGCCCTGTCCCCCACTCTCCTTAGAAAATATCCGTGTCCCTACTGGTTGGTGTCCATTTTCCTGGAAAATAGCTGTATGGCCTAAAAGACCTTTGAACTCAATCTGTGCAGGAAGGGTTGGCCTCCTGGGACCTCCCAAAGCCCGGCTCTCTGCTGCTCTCTCTCTGGGAGGGAGCCGCTTTACCCTGCCCTCCACGTGTCGGGGGTTGCAGGAGGAGGCCGTGTGGAGGGGGCCGTGTGGAAGGGCCGTGTGGAGGGGGCCGCGTGGAGGGGCATGTGTGGAGGGGGCCGTGTGGAGGGGCTGCGTGGAGGGGGCTGTGTGGACGGGGCTATAAGAAGGGGCTGTGTGGAGGGGGCTATAGGGAGGGGCCATGAGGAGGGGCCGTGTGGAGGGGTCTGTGTGGAGGGGGCCATGTGGAGGGGGCTGTGTGGAGGGGGCCGTGTGGAGGGGTCTGTGTGGAGGGGGCCATGTGGAGGGGGCTGTGTGGAGGGGGCCGTGTGGAGGGGTCTATGTGGAGGGGGCTATAGGGAGGGGCCGTGTGGAGGGGGCTGTGTGGAGGGGGCCGTGTGGAGGGGGCAGTGTGGAGGGGTCTATGTGGAGGGGGCTGTGTGGAGGGGGCCGTGTGGAGGGGTCTGTGTGGAGGGGGCTGTGTGGAGGGGGCTGTGTGGAGGGGGCCGTGTGGAGGGGGCTGTGTGGAGGGGTCTATGTGGAGGGGCTGTGTGGAGGGGGCCGTGTGGAGGGGTCTGTGTGGAGGGGGCTGTGTGGAGGGGGCCGTGTGGAGGGGGCCGTGTGGAGGGGGCTGTGTGGAGGGGTCTATGTGGAGGGGCTGTGTGGAGGGGGGCCGTGTGGAGGGGTCTATGTGGAGGGGCTGTGTGGAGGGGGCCGTGTGGAGGGGTCTATGTGGAGGGGGCTATAGGGAGGGGCCGTGTGGAGGGGGCCGTGTGGAGGGGTCTATGTGGAGGGGGCTGTGTGGAGGGGGCCGTGTGGAGGGGTCTGTGTGGAGGGGGCTATAGGGAGGGGCCGTGTGGAGGGGTCTGTGTGGAAGGGGCCATGTGGAGGGGGCTGTGTGGAGGGGGCCGTGTGGAGGGGTCTATGTGGAGGGGGCTGTGTGGAGGGGGCCGTGTGGAGGGGGCCGTGTGGAGGGGGCCGTGTGGAGGGGGCTATGTGGAGGGGGCCGTGTGGAGGGGGCTGTGTGGAGGGGGCCGTGTGGAGGGGGCTGTGTGGAGGGGTCTATGTGGAGGGGGCCGTGTGGAGGGGGCCGTGTGGAGAGGTCTATGTGGAGGGGGCTGTGTGGAGGGGCTGTGGGGAAGGGAATGTGGGGAGGTGGGTGTGGGGAGGGTAGTGAGCATGGCTGAGGCCCAAGCCTCAGAGGAGCCTGCCCCGGCCTGGCTGGGTGTGTCTGAGCCAGTGGCCGAAGTGGGCTTTGTGTGGCCTGCCTGGCCGTCCCCTCTTGGACAAGGCTCAGGGCAGCCGGGCCTCTAATTGTCCTCTCCACATGCCAGATGTTAACCGACATCTGTCATAATTCTCTGTGTCTGTCCACAGGGCCCAGAGGAAGCACAGAAATAGGAATCCCCAGCGGGGCGGGAGTGGCTTCTCTGGTCAGCCAGGGGCCAGGGCTGCGTCGCCTCTGCTGGGACACAGGGCTCTGGGCCAGCCGCAGTGTGACGCTTGTACAAGTTTGGGGTGGGCTGGCCAGATGTTTGCTGCTCTGGGGGTCTATGGTGTGTGGTGAAGGTGACCGGCAGGGGATGCCTGGACATGGGGAGTGTGCGCATGTGTGAAGGTGCACGTGTGTGCCTGTGCATGTGTGTGCCTGTGCATGTGTGTGCCTGTGCATGTGTGCACATGCCTGTGTGTGCATGTGCGTATGTCTGTGCGTGTGTGCGTGTAGGTCTTGGCTCAGACCCTACTTCATGGTGGACGCTGCCTGCTGCATCTCCCGACCTTCCCTAATGGTCTGCGGGGCTGGGCTCTTGCCCTGGTTTCTTGGAAGAAAGCAGACAGTCCCTATGCTGGACCAGGGCAGGTCAGTCATGTACTAACGGGAGAGGCCTCTAGGAAGCACCCCCACGCCCACACCTGAGCCAGCACCAGGTGCCCTTCCCCATTGCACGGGAACTGTGGGCGATCCTGCCCTTCACAGCAGTGGGGCTCGTGGCTGTCTATAGAAAGCAGCCTTCGGTGGCTGACGCCCTGAGTGAGTTACAGCTCTCACCAGACCCCCAGGCAGGCTGGCCCGGGTTCAAACAGGAGGCATCCATTCAGGTTCTTTATTACATGTGCCTGAGGCACACTTGATTCCCTTCACAGAAAGGAGAGGCCCCCCTGGATGGACCCATCAATGAGGTGGCCACCATGCACGTGGCCCTGTAGCAGGCCATGGGGCTCAAGCTCACCCTGGTCTCCATCGAGTTGCAGGGTGGCACGGCGTGGTCTTCATCACACACAGACAGTGAAGGGAACAGTGGTGTTCAGGGCACAGGGTGGCACCACTGTGGCCTCTCAGTTCTCTGTGTTGGGCTGAGACTAGCAGGGACGCACGGGCCACTCCTCTAAATGCAGAGGACAGCAGCTATGCATGTGTGCTGGTCTTGTGCAGGAGGAGGAGCCCTGGGGAGACCCCACCCCGAAGGCCTTTCAGAGCCCTAGGGAGACCCCACCCTGGAGGCCTTCCAAAGCCGGAGGTACTGAGGCTGCATGACCCATGGAGCCCACCCTGGTCAGAGCAGTTGCCATTCACAACTGGTCCCCCACTCCCCATCTGTCACCAAAGCCTCTCTCCTTCCCCATCTGGGCTACACCAGCCCCACCCTGCCCAGGGCAATGACCTAAGGAAGCCACCTGTGAGTAGAGCGGGCCCTGAGGTGTCATGGCTGAGGCTTCAGCCTGGGGGCAGTGGGGTCTTACTTGGAAGGGAAAGCACAGTCATTGACTAATTTCTGTGCGTCACTCACATGGGTGGTGGGTGAGAGTCTGGGCTGGGTCTGAGGTGACAGTGCTGGGCTTGCATCTCAGGAGGGGCCTCTGTTTGACAGGCCCAGCACTCGCAAGCAGGAACTGCAGGAGGGTCCAGGTCTGGAAGGAGCCTGGGTCCTGCACAGCGACGGCCACCGTGAACTCAGCTCGGGATCCCTGGAAGCCGGTGCCCACCGGGACTGTCTCTCAGGGAGCTGGTGTAAACGTCAGAGCTCTCTCTCCAGGGTCAGGGCCCAGGTGTCACCTTCTCTCCCAGGTTAGGATGGGTGAGGGGCTGAGGTCAACACCATGGCTTTGAACCTGCTCCCTGGAGACTCTGACGGAAGGAGCTCCCAGGTGCACCCCGGGCAGGCGTGAGGTGTGAGACTATCACCTCCCAGGTTGATGTCCGAGCCGGCTCCACACCTGTCCCAGGTGAGCCTGTGGAGCATGCTGGCTGTGGAGGTGGGGACAGCATCCGGTGGGCAGGAAGGGCCAAGGGCCATGTGGCAGTGGGTGGGTGGGGGCTGACCTGAGGCTGGCGGTGTAGATGGTGCTGCTGGGTGGATGGTGCCTACACCACAAACTCCTGTGGGGGCGGGGCCTCCCCGAGCAGGTCCAGAGCCAGGCAGTTCCTGGACTTGTTGCTGGGGAGAGTGGCCCTGGTCTCGCAGGGGGATGCCAGCCTGAGGTCCAGGGTGCAGTGGAAGGTGTGGCTGAGTGAGGTGGGCTCTGGGTGCAGGGCCAGCTGGCGCAGACGCGTATCTTCCAAGCTGTGGCTGTGCTGCTCCTCACTGACTCCGGCGTTCATCTCCCGGATCTGCAGGGAGAGGCCATGAGGTGAAGCCTGCAGCCCCCTACCACTCCCACCACTGCAGATGGCCGCCACACTGCTTGCGACCACAGAGCTGCCCTCCCTGCCATTGCCCGCCCTGCACTGCTGTGCACTGCTGCCTGCCCCGGACGGGCTCCCCTGGCACACGCTGGTCCCAGCCCTACCTGCCGACCTCTCGGGGATGCTGGTTCCAGGGTCCAGCCCCTCCCCTGCCTCTAAGTGCAGCAGCCCACCCTGCCTCAGTTTCCCTAATGAGACATCTGTGTCCGTCCCTCAGGCCTGCCCGTGGCCCTTTCGAGAGAGGCTTGGCATTTTCTTCCTGCACATTTTGGGAGACCCCCACCTTGCCCAGCTTCTTTCCCAGGGCCGTTTTCTGCCTTGTAGCTCGGTGGACCTGGACTCCGAGTTTTGTGTAATTTAGGATTAGGTCTGAGTGCGGCCCTTGAACACCAGCTCTGGGCATCTCAGACATCAAGAACAGCCTCTTATTTACATGGGAGGAAACTGTCACTGTCCGAGGCCCCGTGCAGGCGGGCATCCAGCAGGCAGCGTCATCACCCTTAGGTGATGCCTGCAACCCGAGCTTCTTGGCCACTGTGACCCTCAGAGCTGCACCACTGTGCCCCCCGGAGGTGGACAAGGTGCCTGGCAGCAGGGGGCAGGTGGTTTTCATCAATACATCTTTCAAGAGTTAGAGTTCCTGGCCAGTGCACAGGTGGCTTTGGGTGGCTGTCTCCTCTGAGGAGTGGCTGACCCTGGCTTGGGCTCTCCCCCACTGGGATGGCTCCACGCTTGCCAGGACCTGCAGCCTCCCTCCCTCCTCCAGTGCCAGCCCTGCCCTCTTTTGATCCAGCATCTGATAACTAATCAGCCACTGCTGATTTTCTCTGTCTTTCCAGGGGGATTCTGGACAGAGCTGACCAGACAGGGCCTCACCCTACTACAGTGGAGCCCGGGGTGTTGGGTGGGAGCTGGGAACCCTGAGCCCACCAGTGCCCACCTGGGCATGCAGGAGACACCGGCTTTGCCTCTTCAGCTCCTTTGGGGGGACCCTAAGGCGCGGGGGGCTCTAGGGGAGTAGGCAGCACGGAGGAGCCCTACACACCAGACCAGGCCCTGGTGGAGGAGGTGGATGGAGGGGCAGGGAGCCAGTGGACAGAGGGGACAGGGACAGCCAGTGGGGCAGTGTAGCCAGTGGAGGGAGGGGGTGGGGCAGCCAGTAGAAGAAGGAGTTGGGGCAGCCATTAGAAGAAGGGGGTGGGGCAGCCAGTGGACAAAGGGGGCGGGGGCAGCCAGTGGATGGAGGGGCTGGGGCAGCCAGTTGATGGAGGGGGGGGGTAGCCAGTGGATGGAGGGGGTGGGGCAGCCAGTCTGCTGCACAGCAAGTCACAGAGCCAAGGTGTCTGGGTCCTGCCTACAGTGGTCTGGTGACATTCAGGGCCTGGCCACCCCAGGCCCAGGCAGGACCCATCCAATCCCACAGCAAGCTGGCTCACACTGCCCTGAGCTGAGGCCTCCACCTACACCCACCTGCTGCAGTCCCTGAGAGCCTTGCTCCCTGACTTGCCTGCTGCATCTTGGGGGTCTCAGTAGAGGGACCCTCTGATAGGCCTAGGAAGGCCCTGAGGGCCCCTGGCAGGGGACCTACAAGAACCGGGAGGAGCAGAGCCCAGGGCTTCTGGCCGGTGGTGGGGATTCTACCTGGTACATGACCTGAGCACTCTGGCCTCTGGTCCTGACATGGGTGCAGGGCTCCCGGCAAGTGGCTGTGGAAGGAGGCAGCCATGAGCATAGGTGTCTGGGTCCTGCCTGACATGGCTTCCCCCAGGGCAGTCCCCTGTGGAGCTGGGGGCCCAGGTTCGGCCGCTGCTTCTCCTGAGGCCCACAGTGCCCCCTTGTCCTCAGTGTGGTGACTGCTTTCGCTCCGTTCCCTGACCTCTGCTAAAATGGTCTTTTACTGTGCGGATGTGGGACTAGCACGGTGATTCCTGCTGGATTACAGACCATAGAGCTTGAGCAAAACCTCAGAGATGGAGGCCAACCATCCCTAACTGGTGGACCAGACACTCCGAAGGCAACTGTGGACACGGTGGGTTAGTGACAGAAATGCCTGGTCCTGGGTGACGTTGGTTGACCCTGGATGGCGCTGGGTGACTGCAGGTGATGCTGGATAGTGTTGAGAGGCCCTGGGAGATGCTGGGTGGCCCTGGGTGATGCCATATGGTACTGGGTGACTGCAGGTGATGCTGGGTGGCATTGGGTGACTGAGCCCCAGGGCCTGATCTCATCACATCTGCTGTCAAGGCTATGGGGACACTCAGAGACCAATGGAGCTGGGGTGTATGATAAGGAAGCTTTCAGAGCCTCACACACAGGGGCTGAGCAGGAAGCATCCCCCGGGACAGGAAGCCACTTCCTAGGCCCGCTGGACACATGGTCCTAGAAAACTCTGGGAATGGCTCTGTCTTCTGTCTTCTCACTCCTATTCAACTGAGTGAAAAAGACACCAGTCTAACCCAGGCTTCCTGATGCGAGGGCAGCTGGGAGGTGGGGCTTCCCAGGAGTGGAGGGGGTGCTAAAAGCAAGGAGGCTTCCTAGGAGTTGGGGGCTTCTTAGGAGTCCATGGGGCTTCCTAGGAGGGGGGGCTTCCTAAGAGTGGGGGAGTTCTCTAGGAATCCAGAGGGCTTCCTAGGAGTGAGGGGCTTCTGAGAAGTGGAAGGTTTCCTAGAAGTGTGGGAGGCTTCCTAGGAGTTGAGGGGCAACCCAGGAGTGGGGGGTTTCTATGTGTTGGGGTGAGGTCCCTGGGAGGGGGAGGGGGATCCCTGAGAGGAGGAGGGGCTCCCTGGGAGGGAAGGGGGCTTCCTAGGAGTGGGGAGGCTTCCTAGGAGTTGGGGGGCTTCCTACATGTCGGGGGTCTTCCTATGTGTGAGGGTGGGCTTCCTAGGAGTGGGAGGGGCTCCTGAGATGAACTTCCAAGAAGGACCTGGGCTCATCTGCACCCAGAGGACCCACTGCTCCTGTGTCTATCCCAGCCTGCAGCTGCCCCTTGGCTAGGGACAAGGGACTCAGGTATGGCAGCCTGCAGGCAGCTCCTCCCTGCCTCCTCTGTTCTTCCTGGCAGGTTCTGGCACATTTTCGGGATGCAGGTCACAGACAGCCCTGCCCCTCATGGTCCGGTCCCTGGAGGGCAGGCCAGGGCTTTGCTACTGGGTGCCCAGGGTCCAGGGTCAGCCAAGCTGGGCTGCTGGGCCGCAATCACTGCCACTTGGGCCTGGGCATCCCCCTTGGGCCAACCTTGGCTGTCATCATGTGTGCTGGGGCAGCTGCCACTGGTCCTGGGGCCGGAGGATGGTGCCTTCTCATGGAGCCCCTGGACCTCTGAGGGCGAGTCCACAGGCATCTCCCTGGATTCCCTGAGCCGGGAGTCTGCCTTGATGTCTGATGTGTGGGAGCTGCTGTGGCTGTCGGTGGAGTGGAGTGAGAGGCTGTGGGGGCAGTGCTGGCTACTGTCCCCGCTGTTCCTGCTGCCCCCACTGCCCGGGGAGCCCCTGCTGGATGGGTCCAGGTCCAGCTCCAGCCCATCGCTGATGTACGACTCCCGGTAGCGCTGCTTCTCTGCGGGGAGTGGGGAGCACAGTGAGGGCGGCTGGAGAGGGACCATTCCCGCTGATGCAGGAGGAAGAGCCCAGGAGGCAGAAATGCATGCTCAGGGCTGGGTGAGGACCTGGAATGGGGAAGGAGACTGGGCCTGTGGGTAAACGCTGAGCCAGGCCTTGTCGGAACCTGCATTTCCTGCTCTTTGTGGGCACATGGTGGGAGGAGCAGTGGAACCTCAGGTGGCTCCGAGAGCCATCCTCCTCCCCCAGCCCCATCTACACAGTCCCACTCTAGGTAGAGCTGGGGGCACCACCCGCCCTTTGACCTGAGCATCTGGAGGACGCGGAAGCCAGGAGGCCTCGCACAGCACAGGGGAGACAGAAGGCGCAGCCCAGCCTGGAGCCCAGCGCTGCACACCCGAACCTTCCGCCTCCTCCCGCTGCCGCAGCACGTGCAGCGTGGGCCGCGTGAGGAGCTGGAGCTGGTGGCTGGTGCCCAGCAGGTGCAGCAGGTGCTGTGAGCGCCAGACGCAGCCCGTGTAGTAAACCAGCTTCCGTGCTGAGGGCAGCCCGTCCAGCCAGATCTCCAGCTTCTTCCCCGGAACACACAGGAGAAAAGGTGTCACTCTACAGGTTGAAAACCACGCTCCAATAGGAAAGGACGATGTTCAGTGTCAGCCACGGCCCCCGGGGGACGACGCCCAGGTTTTCGCATTGTAGTGCAGTGGGTGTTTGCAGGCACTGAACTCAGGGCCAGCTTGGCTTTGCCCTTGCTGGGGAGGATGCAGCCCCCCTGGCTAGGAAGTACCTGCAGCTGCGTGAGGTGGGTGGGGCTCCAGGGTGGGACGAGAAGACCTGGGTCTGGATGTCCAGGGCAAGCCTGCTGCCCAGTGGCCCCCACAGTCACTACCCTTTCATCCCTGGCACCCGGGCTGCAGGTGGCCCTGGTGACAGCTCTGGGGTTGGGACGAGAGGAACAGAGGCCATGCAGGTGCGTTTCTACGACCTGTTCTTATTTCCTCTCCCTTGGTTTTCTCAGTTGGGAGCCAGTTTTCCAGCAATACCAACTAGACCTCAGCTGGCAGCTAAACACCCAATGCCTTCAGGGCTGGGCCAGACGCAGATCCCATGGAACCAGGCCAGCCTGATGGCCTCGAGAGGTGGGGTCTCGTGGCACTGAGAGGCTGGCAGGAAGCAACCTGCACCTCGTGGGGATAAAATGCCCAGGAAATGCCCTGAAGACAAAGCTGCATGGCTCACACTCTCCAGGGTATGGAGACCCCTCCCCAGACACCCACCAGAAATGCCATCTTCCCGACGTGGGGCCAGGGGAAGTCGTACAGCAGCTGTGGAGCTCGGTTCACCTCCTGCAGGACAGCGGGGGCCGGGCGTCCAGGCGGGGCCAGCTAGCGCCTGAGACCGCTGCAGGGAGGCTACACAGCCCAGCCCCCATGGGGAAGGGAGAAGGGATTGGGGCAGGAGCAGGGGCTCTGTGAGGCTGGAGCCCCTCCCGTCACCTGGTAGATGTGCACTCCCCTGAGTGTCAGTCCCAGGATCACAGTGGGGAAAGCTTCCTCCTTATCCTAGAAGACACAGGTCAGAGGTCAAGGCCTGGGCCTGGGGGTGCTGGGTCTCACTGATGGCAGAGTGTGCTCAGTCTGGCCAGGGGCCGAGGCCTCTATGGAGCAGGCTGAGCTCGGGCCCATTTAGAGTCTCATTCACTCCAGTATCAGACCAAAACACCCTGTCAGCACAAGCATGCCTTTCATCAGGCTAAACAAATATCGGCCATGACCTAAGAGCCCTTCCAAGCCGGCCCTGGGGTCCTGGTGACACTGTCAGCTTGGGGGGCTCTGGCCACGCCTGCCCTGGGGTCCTGGTTCCCACTGTTAGCCATGGGGGCTCCGTCCATCCCTGGCCTGGGGTCCTGATCCCACTGTCAGCTTGAGGGGGGCTCCGTCCATCTCTGGCCTGGGGTCCTGATCCCACTGTCAGCTTGAGGGGGGCTCCGTCCATCCCCGGCCTGGAGTCAGAGTCCAGCCCCGTCACTGGCCGCCCTGCACTCAACCTTGTACAGCCTAAAGAAGTGCACGGGCACGTCCTCCAGCCGGCAGGCCTCCTGGATGAAGCGCAGCATGGCCTCCTTGGGGCTCAAGCCCTGGCGCTCTCGGAGCAGGGCGGGCATGTGCCGGAGGATGTAGTCAATCCCCCTCTTGGTGATGATCTGGGGACAGAGCCGGGCGGTAAGCTCAGACCCCTGCTGCCCTGCTTTCCTCCTCGCCAGTTCCCTGCTCTGAGAAGCCTCCCCAGCCTCCTGCAGCTGGTGCCAACCTCAGCAGGCAGGGCCAGGCCCTGGCTGCCAAGCCTGGACCTAGGGATGAAGTCTGGGTGCCCACTCCACTCTTGGCCCATCTGACTCCCCATCCTGGGTCCCCCCCCAGGGCGAATGGCAACAGCCAGCCCTCCTCAGACATCTGCAGGGGCCACTCCACACCCGACCAGGCCTGGCTCCTGGGAACCTGCCCGATGAGGATCGGCTGCGGCCACCACCTGACACTGGGGTCAGATCCTCAGAGACGTGCAATCAAGGAGGGTGGAAGTGTGCCAGAGGCTGGGGCATATGTGACGTCCACAGCGCCTGGAGGAAGCCTGGTTGGGCCCCACCCTGGCCTCAGACATCACCACTCAGAGCAAACAGGAGAAGGCCCCCAGGTGCCCAGGAGAGAGGAGAGGTACACTCCAATGAACCTTCAAGGAGAGAAACCTCCAAGTTCACTGGCACCAGCCTGCATTCCCGGAGTGACCGCCATCCACCCGCATGGCCATCAGGCCCCCTCTTCCCAGGAATGCACTCGTTCCCTTACAGGCGAAGAAACCGAAGCTCAGAGGCTCCTACGGGTCACCGAATACTTGGGGAGGCAGATTCCACAGCCAGGCAGCCAAGGGCTCAGAGAGGTGAAGCCATGTGAGCAAAGCCTCAGAGCTGGCTGGTGTGTCAGGGGCACAGGCATCTGGACAGCCTGCTCCCGGCCAGTCCTCCCACACCACCCGGCTTTGGGGGATGGGCAGGCCCCTTGGGCCTTCAGGAGGAAAGGACAGATGGCTGCCCCGTTTCCATGCCCTGACCCTTCCTCCAGCTGCCCCTGCCAGGCCTCCAGCCCCTGCTCCTGTGGATGGACCCAGTGGAGGTGGACAGCGCCAGGCTAGCAGTGCTGGGAGGCTGTGGCCCCAGCCTTACCCACTGTGGGAAGTAGGAGTGCAGCTCGAAGTACCTTCTGGTGTGGGCCGGCTCCCGCTGCTCGCCCTGGTCGGCCTACAGCGCGCAGCTGGCCAGCAGGAAGTAGGCCTCCTCCTGGTGGGCGCACTGGGACTGCAGCATGCGCTCCTTCAGGTGGCAGTAGTACAGGTGCCGTGCCCGGGGGTCACTGGAAGGCAGCAGGGAGTGAGTGTGGGGACTGCCAGCCCCTGTGGCCCTTCCTTATCCCTCCCCATGACAGCTCCTGGGGTCGATCTGAGCCCCTGGCACCTTGTTCCTGTCTTGTGACACCCACAGCCATGTCCCTGCGGGGCCAGCTTGGCACAGGCCCACACTCTCCCTGGAGTGGGGTTGCAGGTGACTTACTGCCACCAAGGAGCCCTCCACCCAGCGGCCTCCAGAAGCCTCACCTGCAGCTTGCATATGGCATCCCCACCCTACAGAGGACAACTCCCGGCGTTTGAAGAGGGCCACTGTATGACAGCCTGTATGCGTTTCAATGAGACAGAATTCTTGTGCTCCCCTAAACAGCCAATTGAGTGGGTTGTTTGTATTTCTTTTTGTTTTTAGTATAAACTCAAATGTACTGTGTGGCCTTCGCAGGACTGCTGTTTCACGTGGCAGATTTCCAACAGTCCAGGAAAGCGAGTCAGCACGGTTACCTGATGATTCTTCCGTTTTCCACATAGTGCCGCACGCGGAGGAAGGCCACGAAGGGCGCTTTGCATTTCTTGCTTCCCTGGTGGGGAGAATACAAGAAAACGCAAGTGAGCCACAGCCAGGTGTCCCGCTGTCCTGTCTTCCCAGTGGCGGGTGGGATGCGGGCTGGAATTGCTTCACGCCAGCTCAAAGCTGAAGCTCAGGCGTCCGCAGCCACAGCTGACATCTCCCGACTCACGGTATTTACTAAGAGACTCTACGTGGGGACAGACTCTACAGAGTTCAAGAACATCTGGGAAGGCGGGATCGGTGTGGGCTCACCTGCTGGCACCCTCGGGGCTCACCGTAGTCCCCCTGCGAATGGCCCCTCCAGATGCAGCAGGTGCATGGACACGATGCAGCACATCCCCATGACCCAGCACAGCCCACCCCAGTGCCCTCTCCCACCCCACACGTCCCCGCAGCCCAGCATAGCCCACGGTGGTGCCCTCTCCCACTCCACATGTCCCCGCCACCCAGCGCAGCCCACCCCCGGTGCCCTCTCCCACCCCACATGTCCCCGCCGCCCAGCACAGCCCACCCCGGTATCCTCTCGCACCCCACACATCCCCGCGGCCCAGCACGGCCCACCCCGGTGACCTCTCCCACCCCACACATCCCCACCGCCCAGCAAAGGCCCACCCCAGTGCCCTCTCCCACCCCACATGTCCCCGAGGCCCAGCACAGACCACCACGGTGCCCTCTCCCACCCCACACGTCCCCGCAGCCCAGCATAGCCCACGGTGGTGCCCTCTCCCACCCCACAAGTCCCCACGACCCAGCACAGCCCACCCCGGTGCCCTCTCCCACCCCACACATCCCCCGCCGCCCAGCACAGCCCACCCCAGTGTCCTCTCCCACCCCACACATCCCCGCGGCCCAGCACGGCCCACCCCGGTGACCTCTCCCACCCCACACATCCCCACGGCCCAGCACAGCCCACCCCGTGACCTCTCCCACCCCACACATCCCCGCGGCCCAGCACGGCCCACCCCAGTGTCCTCTCCCACCCCACACATCCCCGCGGCCCAGCACGGCCCACCCCGGTGACCTCTCCCACCCCACACGTCCCCGCCGCCCAGCACAGCCCACTCCAGTGCCCTCTCCCACCCCACAAGTCCCCGAGGCCCAGCACAGCCCACCACGGTGCCCTCTCCCACCCCACATGTCCCCACGGCCCAGCACAGCCCACGGTGGTGCCCTGCCACGGTGGTGCCCTGCCCTCCCACCCGACGCTCCACACTTACTTGATATGTTTCTCTCTTCCAATCTTTTGGGAAGTACTTGCTGAGCTTTTGCTCTAGATCCATAAATATATACTCATTGTCTGAAAAGAAAGCAAAAGCCTTCCTCAGAGCGGTCACCACGCTTCCCAGGTGCCACAGACTGCAAATCCGAGTGTGGCTTCCAGAGGAGACGCACAGCTGAAAGGCGCCTCCAGCGGATGCTGCGGACGGGGCTTTCCGTAGCTGACAGCCCGGCATCTCCACACCGAACAGGTGTCAAACTTACTAAGCATTTTCCAACGAGCAGGAATATGCAAAACTGGCACATGCTCCGGGCATGCCCGTTGGAAAGCCGTGTAGCAACGTGTATCCCACCCCCTTCCTCTGCAACCGAGGCGCCCTCTCAGCTGCGAAGTAAATCGCTTAAAAACTAGAGCTGTCGGGGTTGGACGTGGCGGCTCAAGCCGGTAATCTCAGCGATTTGGGAGGCTGAGGCAGGCGGGTTGCTTGAGGCCAGGAATTCAAGACAAGCCTGGACAACATAATGAGACCTCATCACCACGGAAAAAAACATTGGCTGGGTGTGATGGTGCATGGCTCAGGAGGCCGAGGCAGCAAGACGCTTGGACCTGGGAGTTCAAGGCTGCAGTGAGCTGTGAACGTGGCGCTGCGCTCCAGAGTGGGTGAGAGCAGTGAGGCCCCGCCTGTCAGTCAGTAAAAATAGAGACGTGTCTAATCCAGCACCGACTGATCAACTTTGAGTCAACCACCCCAGCTTCACCAGTTAACCCGGTTCCCCTGGAAACTACAGATGCTTCTTTCCAGATTATGTGTTTCTATGTTTTAAAAAATATGTACCACCATGTGTTTCTTTATAGCCTGGAAAAGTTCAATTATCCTAGAGAGGAAAATAACAGAAGCACCGTCTGCTGCTGTGGAGGCCGGGGCCTAGGACTGAGGTGACTGCAAGTCCCCGAAATAAACTCGAGAGGGAAGTCACGCCTGCAGGAGCCTGGGCGGCAGCTGGCCGCAACAGTGGGTGCCGTGGGCCCAGGCCAGCCGTGCAGGCTCTTCCCGAAACTTTCACCTCATTCTATGGCCACCGATCATTCCATTTATGGCTGCCACCTCACAGACACCTCCCTGGTGACAGGCCAACCAGCAAAACCTGAAACATCGTCCTGGGCTCCTGGGTCAGGGTACCAGGTAGAGACAGGGCTGGGACTGGGGCTGGCAATGCCTGGGGAGGCTACGGGGGGCCCGGGGTGATGGGCGGGGCCCACCTGAATGTGGCGTTTCAGGGCCACTGAGGTCAGCCCAGGCTCTGCCCGGCCTGTCACCCTCACGGTCCGGGCCTGATGGTCCTGAGAGGCGAGATGGGTTGGGGGACGTGGGGGTCCAGGGAGCTCACCGTGTTCCAGGCTGAGCAGAGGACCTGGCATTGCCCTTGCTATGAGCAGAATCACGCTCCCCAGAGGCATATGCACAAGTCCTGACCCTGGCGCCTCAGTTCCTGTGTTTTGAGAGAGGCTTTTACAGAAGAAGTCGTTGAGTGAAAATGAAGTCACATGGGTGGCCCTTCATCCAAGAAGATCGGCAATCCTCACAGAACAATGGAGACTGCCCCAGAGGGGCACACACAGAGGGACGTCATGTGAGCACACAGGGGAGCAGCCATTGGCGGGGCCCAGGGGAGAGGCCTCAGGAGGGATCAGCCGTGAGGCACCTTGGCCTTGGATTCCAGCCTCCAGAACTCACACATACGTGTGTGGTTAAGCCACCCCAGTCCGTGGCAGCCTGGTGGCTCAGAGTCAGGTAGGAGGAGGAGTTGACTCGGTGGGGGGAGTGGGGACTCAGATACTGGACCAAATTGAGGACCCAACTAAAACAGGGACGGGGGAAAGTAGCTTCCCATAAGACAACGCCCACCAGCCCGTGGGTCAGTGTTTCCATTGCCATAGTACACTGGGAGGTACGCCCCTTTCCGTGGCAACAACCTGACCACCCAGATTACCACCCTTCCTAGAAACAGCTGCATAATCTCCCCTGTAGTTCCCATGTAAATAGAAGTGGGTGTGAGTGTGAGTGAGCCCCGCCTCTGAGTGGCTGCTCGCGTGGCCCGTGGGGAGCCTGGCTCTGCCCGCAGCTGTGCCTCTGCTGCTACTGGGCACTGACGCTTCCATAAGAGCTGCTGTCTAATGCCAGTGGCTTGCCCTTGAATTCTTTTCTGGTGAAGCCCAGAGCCTCCCAGGCTAAGTCCCAACTTGGGGTTTGCCTACCCTCATCAAGAGGACCCTATGAAGTGGGGACCCTGCTGGTCTCAGCAGGGCTCACAGCCTGCGCTGTCAGTGTAGAAGCCCTCAGGCCCCATGCGTCATGATTTGGAGCTGAGGCCTTGAGGTGCCATGATTCCCTCAAGGTCCTCACCTGGCTGCCGGCTCCAGGGCCCAGGGCTGACTGTGTCCCTGTGCAGGTCACCCCTGGCTCAGGCCTTGCTTTCCTGCCTGCAGGACCAAACCGTGGGATGTGATTCCACACTGGAAACTGAGGAGCCTGGAGGAACCTCAGATGCAGAGCAAGTGCCGAAAGCCACCCCGAGGAGGCGCGTGCGTGCAGTGTGCTGTGTCATGTGACACACTGATGGGGCTCCGCTGTGATGCCAGTGGCTGGTGCCATGGGTTAGCCTTTGAGGGGTAGGAGGAGGCATAGGTGGAGCACAGGACTTTAAGGACAGGGAGGCTTTTCTCTGTGACACCTCCCCCTGCCTCCTGGGCCTCCTGCTGCTGGCACATGTGCTCAGACACACGGCAAACGCCCATGAGCTCTTCCTTTAGCATCTCGGCAGCTGACAGCACGGACTGTGCCTCAGTCAAAAGGGAACAGGGTTAGAAGCCAGCCCAAGCCATGGCCACGGCCCTCATGACCTGTCTGCAACTCCCCAATGCCAAGGACCAGCAGCATGTAAACGGAGAATCCTTGGTCATCAGGAACCTGCCCCATCTGGAGATGGATTCCTGGTCACCAGGAGACACCCTGCCCTGCACCCCACTGCTGGGAGGGAGGTCCTTCCCCAGGGAGCTGCTGCGGGACCTCTGGGGGACCCCCACACTCCACCCTCAGAACTTGCAAACACCACCTGCTGTCTCCAGGTCTCGGGGACATAGGGGGCTGTGCACTGAGCTCGGGTGGGGCGTGAAGTCCCTGTGCCTTCACACCACGGTCGCCTTGGAACTGTGTCTCCCAGAGGCTGTCTCCACTACAGCCACCCTCCCAGCGCGGGGCCTCACGTAGGGGAGGGGGATGCTCTGGGGTTATCTCTGCCTTGGGAGAACAGTGAAGCGTCAGTGCCAAGAACACAGGCACAGACAAAGCAGAGTGCACAAGCCAGAGCTTGCCTCCCAGACATGGCCGCTCCAGCGGGTCAGTGAATGGTGAATGCCCCACCACAGCCATGGACGTGATCCTCATTCAAAGCGATGGGTCCTGGCCCGGGTTTTCCAGGCAGCCCCTGAATTCCCCGCCGGCTCCGCCCCATTTATTTATGTATTTATTTATTTTAGTTAAGAGATTTTGAGTCCCTAAGTAATGAAAGATGCTAGGAACAGGGCCGGGACTTCCTGGCTTCCTCCCTCATGCCCTCCAGGCTAATTTCCTTTGCATTTCTAGAAATCACAAAACCAAAGGTAAACTTGGTCTCCCCAAGGTCAACATCCCAGCCTCCCCTGGGTGACTCACCATGATTTAAAAGCCACAGACTTGTCCCCAGCCCTCAGAGGGCACAGTTGTGTTGGGGGCCCGGGTTTGGGGAAGTGCTGTGTTTGACTGGACTCCAGCGAGGGGTGGCTGCCGGGACAGCCCGAAGCTCATCCGACACGGTGCCTGCCCCACCTCCGGGAACTCAGGAGGTATCTACTCCTACTGCTGGAGCCTGCGGGACCACACCAGGCACCCACCAAAGCCCGGAACACTCCCTGTGTGCCTGTCCACACACACTCCATATGCAGGCAGGTCGGGAGGGGAGGGTGCTGGCATCTCAGTCCCTGGGCTGGCAGACAAGGGCTGGCCGCCGTCCAGGGCAGAATCAGCCCCAGAAGGGCTGCTCAGAGGGCTGCAGGCGGCTGGACGCAGGCACTCCAGGTGCTTCTGCGCAGAGCTCAGAAAGAGGAGGGCACCAGTTGCAGCAGCCCATAGCCTGGGCGGCGGCCCAGAGAGGTCAGGATCCCCAGCCTTTACCAGGCTTTACCAGGGGCGGGGGATCCCCAGCCTTTACCAGGCTTTTCCAGGGGCGGGGGATCCCCAGCCTTTACCAGGAAGTGGGGTGGTCCTGGGAGGTGAAGACGCTAATGTGAAGCCTGTGGGTCAGGACCCAAGGCCCCACCCCATCCCGGGCACGGAGGCTCCCTGCTGGCAGCCCCCACAGCTCCGGGCTGCACTAGGAAGCCAGGCCTCACTCTGCAGTGACAAGGACTTGAATCCCACAAGTGAGGAACAACTTCAGGATGAGGTGACACAGATGGAGCACAACACCCACCGCCAGCACCCCTCCCCAAATAAACCAGGCTGCTGCATAAACATTCGCCTCCTGCTCGCTGCCTGTGGGACAGACAGGGACAGGTGTGAATGGCGGCTGTGGACAAGCGTGTTAACTGGGCTGGAGTCTCCCCTGGGCCTGGGACAAGTCCTCCAGTATCAACCCTAACGGCAAGACTGACCTCTGCTGCTCCTGGGTGCAAGCCCAGCACTGGGTGCTGTTCCCCACCTCACCACCACCCCCCCACAAAACCCCCGGCACACTGTACGGTTCTTAGCACTGTGGGAGGCTGAAACCCCCACCTCGCCCCCCATGACGCTGCCCCGACCTCACCCCCCATGACATTCCCCCTACCTCGCCCCCCACGACACTTCCCCCTCACCCCCCGTGATGCTTCCCCCACCTCACCCCCCACGACACTCCCCCCACCTCACCCCCCATGACGCTCCCTCCACCTGACCCCCCAGGACACCATGTGCAGTTCCCAGTGCTGCTGGGGGCTGGAATCGGGTGGGGGCTGGCTGAGAAGCACAGCAGCAAAGGGAGGCACCCTCTGGCTCTCCCTGTACCCCTGCCTTCCTGGAGAGTCTGACACAGGAAGCCCCAAACCCATACCTGCCCTCAGGAGCTCAAAGTGCCCACTCAGGGTCCCCTGGGGGACTCAGGTCTGGGTCTAAATGCATGAGGTCACATAGGTAAGGCTGGCCCTGTTGGACCCCATCTTGTTCCCTCTGCCCCCAGGGTCCTCCTTCCCCACTGCCTGGGGGTCACACAGCCCCCAGGGCAGCCCTGAATGAATAGGATCCTTCTCCTGGTGGGGATTAGAGAAGGAGTGATGGAGACTGTGCGCTCTCGCTTCTACTCCGGGGCACATAAGGGGCTGGGGCCACCTGGACTGAAGGAAGCTGGCTCCTGTGCACACTCACAGCCGGAAGATAAACTCGGCTGAACCCCAGGGCACTATGTGGACGGCTGCAGGAAGACTGCTTCGTCCAGCAGCACCCTAAAATCCCATCATAGTCCCCAACAAGGTGCTGCAGATCCTGAAGGATGGAGCGTGAGTCCCGGTGTCCCGGGCAGGGTCCTCGGCTCACTGACTCCCCCGAACAAAGGCCAACTTGCTCTGTGGGGAGCCTGGGAGAGGTCAGCTCAGCCCTGTCCTCCACGGGCACCAAGAGTGGGGGATATTCAGCCACCCTCAGTCAGCTCTGAACTCCATCTCCATCTGTCCATGCCCCGTGTAGCCTTCTTCAGCTTGGCTGGGGCCGGGGGCCAGGCCTTCTCTGTGCCAGCAACCTCAGGCCCCCACTGTGGATGAGAAGCCCCCACTCCTTTGTAGGACTGGATCTGGGCACTGCCACTCGCTTCCCAGGGCAGCAAAAGGTGCACATGAGGCACCTTGGGTTCCCATGGCTCTTCCATGCGACATGCTCCAGCGGCAGGGTCTGTGGAGCCCGGGAGGCTGTCCCAGCCCTACCTCCACCTGCCATCTGCGTGCATTCGAACTCCAGGTAAGAACTCACATAGATCCATCGGCCTGCTACTGGACGGAGGCTCCCAGAAGCCCATGGAGCCAACCGCCCCGCAGAACAGCACAATCGCAGGTGCAGACCTCTGCCTGGGGTTTCAGCCCCTGGCTTCCTCCAGAAAGAATGAGTGAGTGGAAGTGTCTCCTGGGGAAGTGGGGTGTAACTGTAACTGTTAGTGTGCGTGTGTGGTGTGTGAGTGGTGCATAACTGTGTGCATTGTGCATGTGTGGTGTGTGCATGTGTACATGTGTGAGTGTTGTGTAGCTGTGTATGTGGTGTGTGCATGTATACATGTGAATGTTGTGTAGCTGTGTGTGGTGTGTGCATGTATACATGTGAGTGTTGTGTAGCTGTGTGTGGTGTGTGCATGTATACATGTGAGTGTTGTGTAGCTGTGTGTGTGGTGTGTGCATGTGTACATGTGAGTGTTGTGTAGCTGTGTATGTGGTGTGTGCATGTATACATGTGAATGTTGTGTAGCTGTGTGTGTGGTGTGTGCATGTGTACATGTGTGAGTGTTGTGTAGCTGTGTGTGTGGTGTGTGCATGTGTACATGTGAGTGTTGTATAGCTGTGTATGTGGTGTGTGCATGTATACATGTGAGTGTTGTGTAGCTGTGTGTGTGGTGTGTATATGTGAGAGTGGTGTGTAATTGCATGTATGGGTTGTGTGCACATGTGAGTGGTGTGTAACTGTGCATGTGTGCTGTGTACATGTATACATGTGTGAGTGGTGTGTAACTGTGTGCATGTGTGTGCATGTATACATGTGTGAGTGGTGTGTAACTGTGTCATGTGTGGTGTGTGCATGTGCATGTGTGAGTGGTGTGTAAGTGTGTACATGTGTCGTGTGCATGTGTACATGTGAATGGTGCATAACTGTCATGTGTAGTGTGTGCATATATACATGTATGAGTGGTGCATAACCGCATGTGTGTGGTGTGTGCATGTGTACATGTGTGAGTGGTGTGTATGTATGTGCATGTGTGTGTGGTGTGCATGTGTACGTGTCATGTAACTGCAAGTGTGTGGTGTGTGCATGTGTACATGTGAGTAGTGTGTAACTGCATATGTGGTGTGTGCACGTGTACGTGTGTGAGTAGTAACTGCAAGTGTGTGGTGTGTGCATGTGTACATGTGTGAGTAGTGTGTAACTGCAAGTGTGGTGTGTGCATGTGTACATGAGTAGTGTGTAACTGCATGTGTGTGGTGTGTGCATGTGCATGGGAGTGGTGCATAACTGTTATGTGTGTGGCGTGTGCATGTGTACATATGTGAGTGGTGTGACTGTGGGCATGTGTGTGGTGTGTGCATGTGCATATGTGTGAGTGGTGCATAACTGTTGTGTGTGACATGTGCATGTGTACATGTGTGAGTGGTGTGTGACTGTGCATGTGTGAGTGGTGTGTGTATGTGTATACTGTGTGCATGTATACATGTGAGAGTGATGTGTGACTGTGCATGTGTATGGTATGTGCATGTGTACATGTGTGAGTGGTGTGTGTGTGCATGTGTGTGGTGTGTGTACATGTGAGTGGTGTGTGACTGCATGTGAGTGGTGTGTGACTGTGCATGTGTATGCTGTGTGCGTGTGTACATGTGAGAGTGGTGTGTGATTGTGTGCATGTATGTGGTGTGTGTGTACATGTGTGAGTGAGTGCTGTGTAACCCTTTGTGTACATTGTGCATGTGTGTGGTTTGCCCGCCCCCTTGACCCTGGGCATCCCTGCAGGTGGGGCCTGAGCAATGCTTACTTCTGACCACACAGAGGCCGAAGAACTGGGTGTCTCTGATGCTCAGCACGTTGCACACTTGCTGGAAAAGCTCGAGGCCAGTGGCCTTCACCTGCAAAAGAGGTGAGGAGGGGCTCAGGGAGGGGCCGGCACCTGCCCCTAGAGAGGCCACCTGGGCAAGCAAGGTCCAGCAGAGTACCAGGGCATGACCCAGTCAGGCACCCCTGCAGGGGACAAGTCTGGGTTCCTCATTCGCTCGCGAAGCTGAAGACTAAAGATAAGCCGCATGCCCATCAGAGCGCCTGCGAGTGCGGGGGCATGAGGGTGGAAGGGTGGGTGCCCCGGATAGTGGATCGGGGCTGCCCCCTCCATCCCTGTCTGTCCCTGGTGTGAGGATTTCCCGAGACCAGTCAGGGACACGTGATGCAGCGTCACCCCCAGGGCGACCCTGTGGGCTCTGTCCTCGCACGGCACAGATGAACGAGCGCGAGCATCAGTGTCTCACTGTCCATCGTCCACTTGATGTTAGCGAGCTCAACAGCACTCCTACAGTCGAGCTCTGGCTGACAGCAGCCTCTAAACACCAAGCCTGGGGCGTGCCCACATTTCCCGTGTCCTGCACCTGCCTCGACCTCACACCTGCTTGGGCCCTAGCATGGCTGGGACTGGCGGCGTCCCCACGCAGAGCTCTCCCTGAGTCCTGGCTGTCACAGCAGGGCTGGGGCCCATCCCGGGGTCACCAGGCAGGAGAGGTGGTGTTCTCGGGTGGATTTGCAGCGCCTCACGCCGGTGACGGGGCGCAGGCCGGCAGCGTGCACTCTGCTGTCAGACTCTCCCAAGGGCCCTCACTTGGGGCTCCAGGAGAAAGCGTCACAGCAGGGCCCAGCTGATGGCCAGATCTGCAGAAGGCCGTGTTGTGATTCTTCACCATGTTGCATGGTCTCCAGTCAAACGACACAGCCAGGTTACTAATCCCGCGTTACTGTAAGACTGGCTTCATTATTGACACGGTTCGGCTGTGTCCCCACCCAAATCTCATCCTGAATTGTAGTTTCCATAATCTCTCTGTGTTTTGGGAGCGACCTGGGGAGGTAATTGAATCATGCGGTGGTTCCCCGATCCAGTTCTCATGAGAGTGAGTTCTCACGAGATCCCGCGGTTTTATAAGGCCCTTCCCCCTTCGCTGGGCACTCATTCTCTCCTGCTGCCCTGTGAAGAGGTGCCTTCTGCCATAACTGTAAGTTTCCTAAGGCCTCCCCAGGCATGCTGAACTGTGAGTCAATTAAGTTTCTTTCCTTTATAAGTTACCCCTCTTGGGTATGTCTTTATTTGCAGTGCGAGAACAGACTAATATGGTTACTGTCTGCTTAATGTGGTGAGGGGCCGGCAGCCAGCCCCACAATGGCAGTAACGCAGATCTGCAGCAAGGTCTTCCCGGCCCATCCCTTTCTAACGGGCTTGGTTAGAGTACATGTTTGGTTGAATAGGGTATCCCTAACTGCAGACACAGATGCGCACACACCCCAATGGGGGCCCTGTCTAAATGTAGACAGATGTGTGAAACCCCAGTGGGGATTCCTAACTGCAGACAGATGCTCCCACACCAATAGGGGGGTTCCTGGCCTACTGCAGACGCGGATGTGCGCACATCCCGATAAGAGGCGGGCTCTGTGGCTGTTAACTTGGAGGGCCCAGCAGGGGGCTGCGGGAGCCACAGACGCACTTCAGGGGGCTCTGTCAGAAGCAGGCGGGCATGATTCAGGCTGCATGATCCCTCAGTTAAAATCTTACCGCGAAGTTCAGTGCAAGAAACATACACATTCCAGCACTTACAGGGCAGGGGGCCAGTGCCCCAGCAACTTCCCCCAGTGAGTCCTCTTACGACCCCTCCACCAAGCCTGAGGCGCGGCTGAGAGCCCCAGGAAACTACGGGACACCCCCTCACCGGCTCAACTCCAGCTTCTCATTGCCGGGTGGGAACATGAGGCCTGGGGGAGACTTCACCGCAAACGTAGATGTGGGTGTTTGCTGAAACACAGAACCGTATCCCCAAGCAGACGAGAGATTCCCAGGGGACTTGGACCAAGATACCACCAGCAAGTCCTACTTCATTCCGGGCAGCGTTCAACCACGTCCGAAAGGGAGGCTGGGAAAGAGCCATGCAGAGAGTCGTCTCCTCCAGCACCCACTCACTTTAATTGCCACATTTTCACTATCCACATTAATCCTTAAATGAAAGTACTATCTCAGCTCCTGTCCCGGTAAACTCAACTAAAACAGACAAAATGGGTGCGAAAGGATAGAGAAGCAGGGAGACAGCGACATCTGAACACAAGACAGGAGATCCCCCGTGGAAACTGGCTTCCTGGTGCTCCTCCCTCAGCGCGCCCAGAAAGGATGTGCTGAAGCCATCATCGCCTTAGTTCTCACAGTGACGTGTACCAGGGATTTTCCCTCCACAGGCCCAAAGGGCTGACCATCCCTGACACCTCACAGGCACCCGGTGTAAGCAGAGTGAGGTGGTCCGGGGACTTCCCAGCGCACAGGCTGTATCCTGAGGCTCTGCTCACCCCCTGCCCCTGCTCGCCCCCATGCCTCTGCTCACCCCCGTGCTCCTGCTCACCCCCCTGGCAACCCCGGGCCCTGCTCACCCCCACAGCCACCCAGGGCCCTGCTCACCCCCACGGCCTCCCAGGGCCCTGCTCACCCCCACGGCCTCCCAGGGCCCTGCTCACCCCCACGGCCGCCCAGGGCCCTGCTCACCCTCACAGCTGCCTGGAGCCCTGCTCACCCCCATGCTCCTGCTCACCCACCCAGGGCCCTGCTCACCCCATGGCCACCCAGGGCCCTGCTCACCCCCGTGCTCCTGCTCACCTACCCAGGGCCCTGCTCACCCCATGGCCACCCAGGGCCCTGCTCACCCCCGTGCTCCTGCTCACCCACCCAGGGCCCTGCTCACCCCCGTGCTCCTGCTCACCCACCCAGGGCCCTGCTCACCCCCGTGCTCCTGCTCACCCACCCAGGGCCCTGCTCACCCCCGTGCTCCTGCTCACCCACCCAGGGCCCTGCTCACCCCCACAGCCACCCAGGGCCCTGCTCACCCCCACGGCCACCCGCAGTTGCTCCCGGCTGGGCAGCAGCACGAGGACATCCCTGTGCTCCGAGGCCATCATGTGATCTCCAGGGTCGGCTCCTGCAGCTCCGCGTGGGCCTCTCAGGACTGGGCTCTGCCCACTGCACCCCTGCAGGGAAGAACGTGTCAGGTTTGTCTCGGTGGGTTCGATGGCCCCTCCCTCTTGGGGGCACTGCCATGCTGTCATTACTGGGCCCTCCCCAGCCATGGGTCGCAGGTGAGAGCTCAGCGCCTCCCAGATCACAGCTGCGCCTTCCGGGACTCGCCCTTGCCGAGCTTCTTTCGGGTAAGGGAACTGAGAGGGAGGCCTGGGCTAGGAATCCAGCGTGGCCGAGCCAGGACAAGGGTCAGGACTGCAAATAGCTGGGTGTGTGCGGGCGCCTGGAATGCAAATACTGGTCACACTGCGCCCGTGCAGGGCGGCCCAGCACCCAGCCCCATGGGGGTACCCCGTGATCCCCAGGTTGGGAGAGACATGACCCAACTCCCCCACCTGACAACCCCTGACTCCTCAGAGGACTCACTCCTTCTTCTTTAATGTGCAGGGGGCCATGCAAACCCCATGGGCACAGATGCCAGAGCCAGGGCTGCCAGGGTGATGGGGCAGTGCCAGGGGAGGAGGAGGAAGGGGAGGCAGGCAGCCTGGGTGGGTACCATGTCCCACACACATTCTATGGCATCTGCCACTGAGCTCAGGAAGCAGCGCAACTCCAGTTCCTGGTCAGGTTCTCCTGGGAGGGACCCTGGCTCCCCTGAGGGGCTGGACACTAAGGACAGTTCCTTCCTTGCCTGGGGCCAGCAAACCTCTCCCTGCCTGCAGCGGCCAGAAGGCCAGGAAGGGGGTTCTGGCTCAGGTGGACAGCAGCCAGGGGCATCAGCATGAGCAGTGGGGGCATCACCCGCAGGGCCTGGTGCCCGGGCTGCAGCTCACTGGGGATGAGCAACGCCTTCGAGCTCCTGGGTGCAGCGTTAGGGTGGGGAAGGGAGGAGCCTGCCTGGCCCCGGGAGCACCCAGCCCCATCAGTTTCCTGCCATGGAGTCTGGGATGCCCTGAGAGCTTCCTCTAGTTGGGGGTCTGGAGTTCCGGATGGGCAGTTCAATCTCAGGAAATTCGCACTCCAGCTGCCCAAAGGCCTGGCCTGGTGGCTTTAGAAGATTTAGGAGGCTCAGGCCTTACCTTCCCCACTGCTGGACTAACACTGGCGACCCTCCCTCTCTCCGCTCAGATCCGGGCCCTTCCTAGGCCTTCAAGGCCACACGTGCACGCCCAAGACAGCAGCGGCCGTCTCTTTTCTCTCCACAGTAAACATAGAGCTGCTTGCCATCAAAGATGTGGGGATCCCTTTAGCTGACAGCAGAGGAGTTTTATAAAAAGCAAAAAGCAGCCCCAGAGAGCAGAGGCTGGATTCTCCTGGCCCTGGGGCACTGGCACCTGAGCAGCTCATCCCTGCGCCAGGTGCCCTCAGCTACCACCTGCAGTCACAGTGCCAGCATGTCAGGAAGGATGGCAGCAGCTGCCCGTCTCAGGGATGCCTGGGTGCAGCATGGTGGCACGGGGCTGGGGTTGGGAGGCAGAACACCATGGCCACGCACAGCACAGAGGGGACAACAGCCATCAGGACCCCTCGGTGGGGAGAGCTGGGGACACGGTGCCACTGAGCTCAGGAAGCAGCGCAACTCCAGTTCCTGGTCAGGTTCTCCTGGGAGGGACCCTGGCTCCCCTGAGGGGCTGGACACTAAGGACAGCCACCTTGGGCAAGACATTCCAAGGTGGGTGCTGTGCTGGGTGCACTCATGACCAAGTGATGGTGCCCACGCATGTGCAGGTGCTGGCGTGTGAGGGCGCTGGGGTGCTACAGGTGACCTGGGGCCAATGAGCTCCAAACATCGCGAGTGAGAAGAAAAGGAAAAGGAATGGAAACCTCCACCTTCGTATTGATAAACACAATCAATGCCTTCTCGTCAAAGCAGGACGTGGCCCCAGCTCCTTCCTTCCCACCCAGGGTCTCAGGGCCACACGATTGGGGCTCAGCTTCCAGTGAAGGCCACCGCCCACCTGAGGGCCAGGGAGAGCTGGACTTGGGAAGCCCCCATTGCATTCTTGGGAGAGCTCGCTGAGGCGCCAGGGCAGGGGTGGTTACCGTGAGTACCTCCCACCAGGGCACCAAGGGGACACCTTGGGGACCTCTGTCCTCAGCTCATCAAGAAGACAACTTTGCCCTCTGAGGAAACAGAGGCGTGGTCAGGCCCCAGCACAGGCCCCACCTTGGAATGTCTTGTCTTCTCAACTGGCCTGTTTGTGACAGAAGAGCCTGGCCTGCCACGTTGGTAATGTCAGGGCCAGGGCAGTGGACAGACAGAGACCACGAGGAAGATGAGGCTGCCGCCCAGGTCCCTTCACAGCTGAGCCCTGGAGTCATCCTCAGCCCAGTTCTCCCTTCTTCTAGACAGCTGGTTTCCATCCTGTATCATGAGATGGGCCTGCTGAGAACATTCTGGAACTCGAGCTTTGGAGACCTAAGTCCACTAAGCACAGGCTGCAGAAAACAATGTGGGAAAGGCCTTCAGTGATGGAAAGGAAGGCAGAGCTGACACAGGCACAGAGCTATAAACTCCTGCTGTGAGGGGGAAGCTGAGCCCTCTCTCCACTCGGAGGCGTGCAGAGAGCCAGCGGCAGGGGCCAGGGGCAGGGGCTGCAGAGGGGCGAGTCCTCTCCTGGGACAGCTGGATGGCAGCGATGGCTGCGTGGTTCCTAAATGTTCCCAAGTTTATTCAATGGTTTACTTAAGAGGAATATATTTTACAGTATGCAAACTATACCTCAACAAAGCTATTAAAGTATACCACGGGTTATAAAATGGTAACACAAAAAGTCTTCAAGATACGGCCGCAAGTGCTCCCACTCCAGCAGGGTGGGTGCGAATTTGAGACACGAGGGCACATGCGTAGGTGTGAGTGGGCACGTGCAGCCTTCATGTCCGGGACTGCTGGGGCTGCCCACCCCTCCTCTCCGTCCTCCCCTGCACCATCAGGAACACAGACTGGTCCTTTCCTGCATGCCACAGAACCAGGTGTGGCCCTTTACCCACTCGGCCACACCCGCTCTGTGGATGAGGAGTCTAGTCTCAGGCCAAGCTGGGCAGTGAGTGACTGGTCAGGGTCTCACTCCATGCTCAGCCCCCGTCCCCACCATCCAGCCTACACTCTGCTCTCTCCCTTCAGCCACCCGACCCCACCTGGCTGAAATCCAAAGAGAAGCTGGGTGTCTGCCGGAAGGAGCCCAGGGCTGCCCGCTGGGTCCCTGGGAGGTCGCTGCTGCCTGTCGGCACCGTGAGGGCATCTCACTCAGTAACACACTTCCTTTCCACAAACATTTTCCCTGGAAAGGAATGTCGGCCAGAGGCAGCACATTTTGCTCCTTTTATAAGTAGGGAAACTGAGGCACATAGCAGCTAAGTGGCTTGTTCAGGGCCCAAGCCCCAGGATTCCTGAGACCTGCCACAAAGCTTCTTCCTGAATCTACTGAGCTCCTCCTCGGAAATCATCCTAGAAGAGAGAGCTAATTCTTATGCTCATTCTTATGAATGACCCGTGTAAGCCCGTCTTCTGGGATGACTAAGGATGGTATTTGGGAGATGCACGACCTGACTTTTGCTGCTCCACCCAAGCGGATGGTGCCGGGCCTAGATGGGGTGCACAGGGGGGTGCAGGGCCTGGGTTGGGGTGCAGGATGCTCCCTGCCCTGGCCCTTCCCTGGGCACTGCAGGGTCCAGGTAGGGTCGCTGGTGAGTGTCCCAGGCAGCCACGGGAGCCGAGGAACCCAAGCTTGGCCCAGGGCAGACGCTCTGGGGAGCCTCCTCACGGTGGCGAGTTTACGGGTGGAGCCCAGGAGATGCTTGCCAGCAAGAAGGAAAAGGGCAGCTGGAGATGCTCTGCCGACACCGACGGGCCGCATTTGTTCCACCTGCTCAGACCTTGTGGAGACCATGACCACCCTCAGCCCAGTAAACAGGGTGTGAGGCGCGGGGCCCGAGCCCATCACCGTCTCTGTGGCTCTAGCTTCTCGGTCTTCCAAACTGACCTCTGGCTGTTCAGAAAGGTCAGTGGCGCATGGCCTGGCGTCTCTGCTGCCTCGGCCAGGATGGGCGCTGGAAAGGCCATGACCTGCCTGCCTTATGTATCTGAACAGCAAGGAGGGCACCCCATTCCTGCAGGGGAGGCAGCGGAGCTGGCGGGAACCACCCTGACCGAGCTTCAGAAAGTGATTCAGAGAAAGAAGCGGCTGAGAACCAAGGGCCATGAAATCAGAACACTCTTCCATCCACCTGAAAGAGAGGTTAAGTAACCAATCAACCCAAACGGGAAGGAGACTGAGAAGGCCGCCTCTTAGAACACTCCACGGGAGGAGGGCGTGAAGAGCAGCCCTGAACTCCCCATCACGTGGCCAGGCACTGAGAGGACTCGAAAGGTCCCTCCGCCACTCAGGAGGCAGGGCTGCCTGTCCCAGGGAATGGGGTCGGCAGGACTGGGGCTCCGGCCTTTGGGGTGGACAGCCTCCCTGGCAAACACGCAGCGATCTGGGGTGTGGAAGGTGGGATGTCCGTCCTGTCCCGGGCTGGGGAAGCCAGCAGAGGCAGGACGGCCGGAGGAGGCTCATGGATGGCTTCTTTTCTGCTCTTTTTGGTGAAATGGGAGATCTCTCCCTTTCCGGCTTCAGTGTGAACCAACTTACTTGTTACAAAGTCTCATCTTATTTAAGGCTTCCTAAATGAGGGTCTCCCACACCTGGCCCCTCTTCTGAAGTCTCACCGAGGGCCTGGGGACAGAGGGTACCCCGAGTCCTGCAGGGCAAACCTAGGGAAGAAAGGACTGCAGCTTCTAGCAACCCCCACGACACCCCAGGTGCAGCTGCGGGATGTCTTCCTGGGAGAAGGTGAGAGACGGCAGGTGGGCGAGGACACCCTGATTTCAGGTGTCTTCCTCTTCCCATTGGAAGCAGTCACTCCCAGGAGCTCACCGGCTTCTAGGGATTAGACAGAAGCCTGTGGCATCACGAGGGCAGGACCGGATTATGATGGACAGCGTGTGTGTGCATTGTCAGTCAGACACAGTAACTGCTGAATTAAAAAGCCGCAGAGAGCCGACAATTACAAAATGCCCCTCCTGACATCCGTTAGAGGACAAATCCCAAAAAAAGAGGGCTGGGCGGCAGGGATTGTGGGGCACACCCTGGACGGAGAGGAAAACCCCATAGCTGCGAGTCCTGTGGGAGAGGTGCCTCAGGCTTGGTCCCCACACTGTCTCTTCCTGGGGGCCCTCCCTGTGCCGCTCCCAAGCAAAGGCCCGTGAGCAGGGCCGGGGCTCCCTCCGTGAGAGCGTGGTGGCCCTGCTGGCTTGAGCTCCCTTGCCCTTTGGAATTACCGCAGTGTGGAATGTCTCAGGGAAAAGCCCTCTTGTCCCTTCTGTGTTA